TAGAACTTGGATCAAGTTTTAGCATCGTGGACACAGGCCTTAACTGGGAAGAAGTGACGGAGAATCGACCGGCCTCTGGTTAGCAGTTATCCAGAAAATGAAAAACCAAGCCTTAGCGTTTCTATTGTCTTGTCTACGCACAGGTCCTTTATAGGCAACGTTTATTCATCTACATTGGCCCAAATTTCCTCGAAATGCTCTTTTTGTCGATGAAAGTGCCCTGTAAAAGATCTCGGCCAATAACAATCCTTCATAATCAAGTGCAGGTTTTATCGATAAAAGTGGACTCTGATGGACCACTGTATCTACGCGTTTCTCAGATCAATTACGAATCGGCTTTACCTCCGAAACGTCAGCGAGTGGTCATTCAGTTCTCAAGGATGTAAATCGCACAACTACCTATGATTTTTCAATTTTTCTTTACGTCGTTCCGTCCTCGATCGTTCGCGAGCGCTGTATCCTCGGTCACGCATGCGCAACAAGAAGACCCGCCAATTCTCGCTCCCCGCGCATGCGTCCCCCGAGGGCGCACGGATTCGAATTTGGCGCGGCAGTCCGCCGGTCGTCGATTGGCTCGTATCCCCGCGAGTTATGAGGTGTCGCTGAATCGCGAGATATCCGCGGCTCAAGACGGGGCGCGGGAGAGGGTGCGGGGTCCTTCGTCGAACGCCGAGATCGCCGGGTGTGAGGGGTATGTTGTGAGTTGTGCGGCAGTTCCTTTCGTCCTTGATCGTCCTAGATACCCGCACGGTATGACGGAGGCGAGTGTAGACGCGCAGGAACGTTCCTTACGCCTCCCTTGCGTCGACGACGCGGACGCGACGTTCACGGTAAGATTCCCGCAGGAAACTCGGTCCTCCCGTGCCATCGGCGGCCGCGATCGTTGGGCCTTGTTCCGCAGATGGCGACGGGGGGTAGGGGAACGCCGTAAGAGAAGTATAAAAAAAAGTGCAGCTGGAAAACAAACGAACCCGCTCTCTCTCGCGCGTAGAGGAGATCGATCGATCGGCCGGCGCGATACTTTTTCCTTCCCCGGCGCGGCGAAGGTGAACAGGCTGCGGTCTCCGGAAGTCCGTGCGTTCTTCCGAACCTTTCTACCTCCCCCCCGGGACGACGGAGAATGGGGTGGTCTCGGCGTTGTCGACGTTGTCGTCCCTCTCGTCCCGGCTTTTCGGTTAGTTTCCTCGTCGCCGAGGTTCTCGCGTCCTTGAGATAACGCTCAAGGGCGTTATCTCGCGAGCCTCGGGGCAACGGAGATCCTTACCCGTTTACGCGCACGTGCGGACTAGTCTTCTGTTGCTACACCGGCGAACCAGTGCAATAAGTTGGACTGGAGTGAAATGCGTATATTTTTCTCATTCCAGCTTGCCGCACTAGTTGACCAGTGCGGCAGTAGGATAACGAGTCTCGTGTATCTTGTGTCTTTCACAGAACTCGGACAGCGGTGCGCATAATCCCGGTGACGGTGCAGCCATGTCCGCGGAGATGGAGAACGCCGATCTGGAAAATGGTGAACTTCCTTTCCTTGCTTGAGCCGCCGCGAGCTAGGGCCTGCTTTCCCAGCCTCTTCGCAAGTTAACTCGACAGTTGAATTATGTGTCCGTCCAATTTAAAGGGGAAACGGAGACACGTATACACGATTTGAGTATTAGTTAATTTATCGAGAGATTGGAACAACCGGCCCTTAGGGTTTTTCATTTCCTGATTAACTGTTAACCAGAGGTCAGTTGACTCTCCAACTATTTTTTATATATATATATTATTATCTAAGAAGAGACAGAATCGATTAACTTCCAGTTAACAGTTAACTGGAAAATAAAGAACCGGATCTCAGGGTGTTTTACAAACGTCGGTTAACTGCTAGCCGAAGGTTAACTGATCCTCTCTTAAATAATAAGATGGAAAAGGATAGGGAGTCGACTGAACCCTAGTCAATAGTTAACCGATGTTTGTGAAACTGGCCCTTAGAGAGCAAGATAGAAAAACTGGGGAGTTGACCGAGGGGGAAACCATTGAGGGCATTGTGGTGTACAGATTTGCTGCATTACTCGGCATTACTAAGCATTTTTTGGGCATTAGGCCCATAGACATAGAAGATAGACCCAGTATATGTGTCACGAACATAACAGACAGAGAGGCAAAATAAAGTGGCCGCAAAATATTGTCTCTCGCTCCCTCTCGTGCCTCCTGCGGCCACTCTACTTTGCCTCTCTGTCTGTTATGTTCGTGACAACTTTTCTTAAGGAAATGAATGGGCATGCTGGGTCTTCTATGTCTATGATTAGGCCATACTGAGGCGTCATAAAGATAAACTAAGGTAAAATAAGATGAAATAAGATAAAGTAAATGAAAATGGCTCGTATGATAAAATCAAATGATAAGAGAAGGGGCTCAGAGCCTGAACAGGGTAGTAGTGTCCAAAGATAAAATTTAATTAACAAAAACTATATGTTTCGGTCCTTATTGGACCATCTTCGCTATAACGAAGAAAATTAATTACAATTTAAAACATCCGTGAATTCATAAAACAAATTAAATTACAATAGAGAATGCGCAATCGGTCTTGTTGAAATGCATACATTATCTAAAGATTTCGCAGTTAAACATGTGAAGGGTATATTGTATAATAACAGACATATCTAAAACTTTCGTAATCGAACATCTAAGAAGTATAATAAGTGGTGAGACAGAAGTGCGCAAACAACCACGCGATATAGTCCAATAAGGACCGAAACGTATATAGTTTTTGTTAATTAAATTTTATCTTTGGACACTACTACTCTGTTCAGGCTCTGAGCCCCTTCTCTTATCATAAGATAAAACAAGATAAATAAGATAAAGTGATGCCCACTGGGCACTGGTGTACAAGATTTTGGTCAACGGTTTACCCCTCGGTGTTGACTAAACTCTGGTTAACAGTTAACCGACGTTTGTGAAATTGGCCCTTAATCGGCCCGAAAGTGACTGGGGAAGCGACTCGTCGTTTTTCTTTCTCTCCTTGCAGTCTTGCAGCGGATATTCGTGGAATGCGACGCGTCCATGTCCAGCACGAGCGACGCGGTGCTGATCTCCAGCATCGTCGAGTACATCCGGGATAAAATGCCGAAGTTGCCGTGAGTGTCGACCGAGCGGAGACGACGCTTATTTTCCCTCCCCGCCGTTCGCCAACGTTGACGAACGCGACCGCGCGATTAATTACCTCGACCTAAAGCTCGAGACAAATTGCCGGCCGTGTCTACGGCCGATCGATGCAAGGACAGGCGCGATCGACGACTTTGCGCACGGCTTTAATCTGTAGGACACGTGTGCGTTTTCGCAAGACGGAAAGCCACGGCCGGAGTGCGAGCCGAGGCGAGCGTCTAATAAGTCCGCGTGCGCGTAAATAAACGCAACGTTTATTTGTATGTAATGTCTGCGTGGCAGATCGATTTTCGCGGGAGACATTGTCCGTGCGAATCGTAACGCGCCAATTTTCTTCGATAGAGTCGACAATCTGATAGAATTATGGAAGTGTCTGGTGGCTGTCTCGACGAACGATCGCGTGAATATGTGTCAGTTCAAGGAGGCGACGAAGCGCTGGATCGCCAACGTGCAGCAGTCTACGCGGAACAACGATAACGACGCCCGGGAGAGGCTCTGGTAAGAGGAAGCGTCGTTTAGAAACGGAAAGAAGAAAAGAAGACGTCGCACGTGGCGAGAGACGCCACCGATCATGCGAAATCCACTGGACGCGGAGATGATCCGCGTCGGGGAGAAAAAACGAGCGTCTTTGAGAAACGGAGACTTGTCAATGCTCGCCGTTCACGTGAATCGGGGAATTGCGCCGTAGATTAAGAGACCGCGACGCGAAACTATCGCGTGGACGATGTAACAGCGCGCGGGACCCAGTGAACCGTAAACTCGATACGTGGAACGCGCCGCGACCGGGAAAAACGCGGCGCGGTGTCTAGAGGAATTGATTAGCCGAGTCAACCGCACTCGTCGCGCGGGGAGTCGTTGAGCCGTTTTCGATCGACACCGTTTTGAGCAAGTGGACGGATATACACACGCGAACTCGGCTTCGGTATAGCGTGGCGTAGATCCGTGGATTTATACGCCGTAAAGTTCGCAGTCGCGGCGTGCGTTAACGCGATCTACGGCCGTCGTACGGATTATTTCTGGGAGACGTCGTAAAACGCAGCGTGTGGACGGTAATATTTCTCCTCGCCCGTTCAATGCGACGCGACATTATCGCGTCGACCGCTCGATAAGCGGCTGGACCGCGTCGATCGCGCGGCCGTGCATTACGGCTCGGGTCTCGCCTAAGCCGGCCACGCTACCTTCATTCAGAGACACTGAAAAATTGCTCGCGGTTCTACGCGTGAAACAGACACGCACGAGGGCGAGCGCGCAAACGTATGCAAATGTTCCTCGCGCGAGCGAGTTTACTTTCTTTATTGCGATGCGTGTAGAGCGCGAGCGACGTGTACCGCTCGTTAAAGTTTGTGCAGGCGCGACCCTGTTCGAGGAGGCCGATAAGAGATCGCGAGGCTAATACAACGACGGCAAACCAAGCTCGAAATTGGCCGAGAAATCTGCGGTTCGTGCGCTCGTAATAGGACATTTTGTACACTAAACGCGAAACAAGAGCTGGATGGTCTATCAGCGAGCTAACGAATGAGATGTCTGACAACTCGCGAATATGTTCTTTATTTCTCTTTAATGTTTATTCGAATTTTTTTAGCGGCTGACGCCACGTTCGCCATGCGTGCGTTACGTAGCGATAAAAGTAATTGTCGCGATTGGCAGCCGAGAAGAAACACGCGTGCCGAGATCTCGCGTTTATGTTCATTTCTAGCAAGATGTAGAATAACTTCAATCTCGATTTAACTCACTTTTTACCTTTTTCTGATTCTAAGAATTGGAAAAGGCGCTTGTTAAGTCGAGATTAAAGTTAATCTACATTGATAGAGACACGCGTGCCGAGATCTCGCGTTCATGTCAATTTCTAGCAAGATGTATATTAACTGTAATCTCGGTTTCACTCATTTTTTTCTGGTTCTAAGAATTAGAAGAGGGTCAATGGAGCAAGTCAAACTGAAATTGAAGTCAATCTACATTGGTAGAAACATGAAAAATTCGGCACGACCGACGTAAGCGCGGAGCGAAGCAACGACCGATGAGTTGACTAAAAGAGTGTTTACTTCGTACGAGCGCACGTGTATGTTACGTGTGTCCATCTGTATGTATATCTTCTCGCGGATAAACCCGAAAGTGTTACCCCGAGTCGCGCGGAGCACCGCCGATTTCTCGCCGTCGATCCCGATAGGAGTCGAACGAGCGGCACGCAGGTGTTGCTCGCGCGGCCGTGTGACGCGCGAATATTGTGCCAGCTGGAAATCGGCACGCGATATCTCTTATGCAATTCGCGTGAGGTGTTCAGTCGCTGCTCGCCCGTGTGGTTATACCTGCGGCGATCTCGTTAGCGCGCGCCGAACGCGATCATTCCCCGCGACGAGATAAACGGGCGGGGAGAAATATCTGCGCCCGTCGATTTACTTTTTGGAATTACTCGCGTGCCTTACACACTCGCGATCGACCTCGCGCGCGCGCCAAGCGTACCGGCGTTATCCTCCCGTTCCCGCGAAATTGTCCATCGCAGCGGCTCAATTACCGTCGCGAATGTTAGTCGCGACACGTCGAGGAGTTAATTTATCGACTTGTCAGCGATGTTGGTGCGTTTGTGATATGGTGATAGGCGCATTCGATCCTGCACGACGTCGACGTCGAACCGATTATGATTTGTGACCGATACAAGAAGTAAGTGGGGAAATTAGATCCGCGCTGCGTCTCACGCGAGATTATATTCAAATGCGAATTTAACACACGTGGACAAATAGACGTATTGTTTTCGTGTGAATTTCTTCGGCGACGCTCGCATGATTTTATTGCATATGCGTCCAATTATATCTTTTTTTTTTCTTCTGCCCGATCGAACTTGGTACAAGGCGTATCACTTTTTACAACATTTGCCACATTTAATTGATCATAAGTACTCCGTGTGGATAAACGTTCGGTTCTCTTAATGCCGTATATAAAAGTGTGCTGGCAAATTTAATGGGTTCGGCATTGAGAACGTAGGATGCATGTTGTATTACTTAATAATTGATCTTCTGCATGTAAAAGCAATTATAACATACGTAACACGTATGTTAATTATTGTAGCCCTGTGAACGATGCAGACACCTCGATGAACATCATGAATATGGACAAAGATGTCGAATTGGAGGTCCGTGAGAAATTTCGGAAACTCTACGAGGAGAACATTAGCCTTCGCGACGAGCTCGAGCGGCACGAGGTGTTGATCGACACTCTGAAACAGCAGCACAACGCTACCAAGAAACAGCTGTGCGTACAATTTGCTTCGCCTCTAACAAGTGTTTCAATTGCGGATAAGTTCGAAAGATCGATTTATATGAATATATTTCTACAATATTCATGGTTATACATTAATATTGATGAGCAATAATTAATATTTATATATGCGTTTCATCAATATAGAAAAGATTACATTCAGAAATGTCAGCATTTCGAAAAGGAAAACGATGAACAAAAGGAGCATTTAAATGAATTGATTAAAAAAGAAAAGTCGATGGCCTTGACTCTTCAGAGATACACGAAAGAGCATCAGAACTTGAGTGAGCAATTGGAGACCGTGGAGGTTGAGGTAAAACTAATTGCATCTTATTTTATGGGGATTTATTTATGACTTCCGTTCGTAAAAACAGATTTATAGATTGTACGTATCTGCGGGTGAAAGATATTCAATTTTCACTTTGTATTCCTCCGCATATTTTTCGTAATTAATATTCGAGAATGTAAACTCGAGTATAAATATTCAAGGTTTTGAATTTGTATATATTTGTGTGTACTGAACCTTCAAACATTCTGTACAAATTAATAGGTACAGGCTATACCGTCTTTGAAAACAGAACTAAAGAAAATCATTAAAGAGAAAATGGAGTGCGAAGAGAAAATTGGCAAAATGCAAGAAAGGTTTGATGAAAAGGAAGATAATTGCAGACAATTATCGATCACTGTAACCCAACTCAAGGAGATGAATAATAGCATGAAAGAGAGCTATGAATACATGATTCACGTAAGCTTAGTGTTGCCCCCAGATGTATATCGTACAGTCACGAATTTTAATGCTACAGCAAGAAACGTATATTGCAGGATCTGCGCGCAAAGAATCGTCTACTTATGGACGAAAATACGGAGCTGCAGTCGTTGTCGGCTCTTAGCATGGGTCCTACGCCTTTAGAAAGAGTAAATTATTAATGCTACGGGAATGTAAATCTTATAAAAATTGTATTTCTAGCGGTGTAATCGGCATGATTATTTACAGCTCTCGATTTCGCCAATTATGAATGACACAGATGAATGCTACATGCATAGCACGCCCTATAAATCGAAGGAAACGTCGGCGCAGGATTCACTGTACACGGAATTAAAGGTTTTAGTAAGTGAAAACTCTTTGGTACCTTATCTAACGCGCGATAAATTAATTCCGATTATTTGCGTGCTACTAGAATAAGTAACATGCGGACATTTTTAATAGAGATTTGAATTTTTTTCTTTTTTTCTTAATTGACTGTATTTTACGTGTTTCAGGGCTATACAGCTGAATGCTGCAGACACGGCAGACGAGATCTCGAGGAAGAACTGAACGAATACGACGCCGCGATTAGCGAGATACTGGAACAGCTAGAAAAGTCATTATATAACTCAGTTTAATTATTTTTTTTTGCTTCGTCTAATAATCCGTTGCCTTGCACGACCGCGATCGAGCTTGCTTTACGTTTTTGTTTGCGATTTATTTTCAGAGTTATACAGTTTTTTGTTACGATGCGAGGCTCCACCGACGACTTGTCTCACTTCGACTCGCAAGACACGGGTGCGAGAGCTTACGACGTATTGAAACACAAAGCAGCCTTACTACTGTATATGGTTAGTTGTATCCGGCTTATTTTTCGTTCGGGATTTTTCTTTCACCGCGAACGTCACCGATGTTGATAAGGCGCACTTAGACAATCGCCTTGACACGCGCGGCATTACCATAGTCGGATGACCGAGTTTGCGGTAAACTCAGATTTTCATGACAAAGCGACATACACGCTCATCGATTCATGTTCACGGCCTTTCTCTCGCTCCCCTTTTTTTTCTTCGTTCCCGTCTATTCACAAACAAAATTTCGTAGGCAACAGAAGAGATCACGAGGAGAAGTGCGAAGCGAGATTCGAGCACGCAGCTCCGAGCCGATCCCGTAAACGCGGCCAGCACTTTGGACCAATTTGGCGTTGGGAGGAGTTTCCAGGATCTGTTGCACGCGTAAGTTAACATTGCGCTCGCCGTGAAAACAACGACGTGAAACACTTGCGCGTGTGTGCCGAGTTACACTCGTCGACGTAGTGTAAACCGAAGCGAAGATGATTAATTCCCGGAAGAGGAGTCTATCGCGAGTCCGTTACATCGAACGATTCTCCCTTTTCTTCACGTGGGCGACCTTGCGGACGAAGTTTATTCTCGCGAAAGGCCGAAACGCCGTTCCGATTACAGACATCGTGCTCTTGAGCAATACGTGTCGCATAAACGGGAGAGATATTGCTTCGATTTTCCGAAGCGAGTGACCATTCGATTCGAATATCTGGACCGAGGTCGGCTGTAGCGGGCGGGTCTTCAGGGTTTCCCATAAAAATAGCGGTGTCGCATTGCTCGTCGCCTGCACATATGACGGCGTGTGACACTCCACGCAAAAATAACCGGGCCGCCCTGAATCTCGCCTTAAATCATGATTCCAATTCCGCCTCGCTCGCATCCCGATAAAAAAAAATGTTTACCGGCCAATTTAACGTGCGCTCGGGTTCCGTCCTCACCGCGATTTGCAAATTCGAGTCGCGTTCAGGGAATTCAATCCCGACTTTTCGGCTTTCTCGCCTCCGCTTTCGAATTCGCAACGCGTTAAACAGGTTCGTTTATTGCAACTTTTATAAATGCGTAGAGATCTCTATCGTGAGCTGCGGTAGTCTTCTTTTTTTTCCACACGAGACGCCAATGGGACTTGCCGAAGAAAGACATTGTCGAATCGACACGGTTCATATATGGATGTACCCGAGAAACGTTCTCAGACGTTCCTTTAGATCTTTATTAACTCTTTTTTTTTTCCTTCAGACAAGAGCTAAGAATAATGCAGTTGCGGGAAAACACGGCTATCATTTCTTACGCAAGCTATTACCGCAATCGTTATAGAGATCTCTCGAAATGCAATCCGGAGATCAACCTCGTCTGGCTGCGCGATGCAGGAGAAGACGTCAGCACCGCTAGGGAGAGGCTTTGATTCACCGGGCGGGTGCAATCAGTACGCTCCGGGCTTCGCCGTCGCGCGTGTCGGTACCTTGAGAGCGGCGTTTCGGACGAAACCCGAAAAGAAAAGGAAATCACGTCCCGTACGTGGAAGTGGCTTTCTCGTGCGACCGAAAAAGAATTTTATCAACTTCGTCGCGCGACACCGAGATCGATCCTTGATTGGGCAGCGACTCTCGACTTGACGTCCCTTCGATCGTTGATGCAAAGTTTCTTGACAAGTTCCTTGAAAGCTAGGGGGGGGGGGGGATCGAAATCGAAATTAGCGCTGAACCGACGGAGAGTGATAGAATAATTGTTTAACGAATGCGGCACGTGCGTACACCTGACAATGAGACACGGACACAGATAGCGTTGATGTAACGCAGACATTAAGCGCGCGCGTAGCGGCAAGGACAGTTTGATTTGTTGCCTTAATAGCATGATCGCCGCGCGCTAAATCTATGCGCGCATGCACCACGCGTGTAGCTGTAATTAGTCGCCTCTGCGATCCACACGAATTGTTTATGTCATCGCGATCGACCTCGGCCTTTGCGGGCAAACGCGAGGGAGACGAACAAGACCGTTATTTTACATGATTTTCTGCTTTAATTGAAAATATTCTCGGCGCGACCGCCGCATATTAATCGCGGCTAACTTTTTTTTCCCCCCTCGAATTTTTGGAACCACGCGCGCGTTTACATGGAGACAACAATGAATATCCCGAATATATTGCCGCGACTGACGTCGTTTGCAGGCGAATACTTGGAAGACAAATGAGACAATTGTCTTGACGAATATGAATTTCCGGCTTTATTCAGGCAAATAAGTTTCAGCGTCCGCAATCGTTACATATTATTCGATACTTTTTTTTTAAATATTACGTAAGCGTTATATAGAGAGAAACGAAAGAACGATGAACATCGTATCTCGAATAGCTTAGCTCGATTTCTTTCCACACGCCGGCGTCTCAAGGCTATTAAAAGTTTTACCAGACTCGCGTTATGCATGAATTTGCGTTTTTGCCGCCGGCAGTCGCTGACATTTAAACAGTTATCGTCCGTTATCGCGCGAAAACGTATCGTTTATAATGGGCACTAGTTAAATAATCGAATCTTTGTGAATTTCGCGGTTACGCCTAGTTGCGTTAATTTACGTCCGGCGTACTGAGCTTGCGTTCCTCCTCGATCTTTCTTTGCTACGATCGCTATTTTAGCCGGCCGAAAGCGGAGGCGGGTCTGCGGTCGACAGCTTCGCGCTGCGTAAATAACGAAGATGATGACTTGTTCGCGCGAGTCGTAAGGACATACACGTGCGCCCAAAGTCGATACCGCACCGTCGAACCCATCATCGAAGAGTTGCACGACATCATCGAGAGCACTCTCGGCGCACTCGCCAATCGTAAAGACTGTCCTCTGTCCGGGAGCTCAAGGTCGGATTACGCAAATTTTAAAATATGTAACGATTCAAAATTAATTTGCCGCGAAATGTCATTGTGAGAGGAAAAAAAAAGGTTACCACAAGACGTCCTGCATCGTCGTGAATATATTAAGTGCGAGGCATTAATGCAGGCCGTGCCGTGCTGGAATTCAAACTGATTACTTTATTAATAGGTTCCGATCGGTACACACGCTGCCGTCGAGCTTGCAATCGCTACAGTCGTTCACGCTGGCCGTGGAAAACTCGCGAGCGCCCGGTTGCCAGGATCCTGAAACCACCGATGCTCCGCTCGCTCGAGGAGACGCTCTAATGCGGGGAGATCGCGACGACGAATCCGCATCCCTCGCCGCGGAAGCACGCGAGGTGATATCCGATCAGAGGGATCCGGCCCGTTCCGAGGAGGATCGATCGCGCGAGATGCCGAAGGTGACGAGTGTCCTGCAGATGAATTCGAAGGAGACGTCGGCCGCGTCGGAGAAGGCGAAGGCGCGCGCCGGCAGCTTCCAGGTGCCGGAAGCGAGCAGCGCGGGCACATCGCCGACTCCCCGCAGAAAGATCTCGGTCTACTGCCGCTCGTTCGACGTGGTGACGGTGCAGGATCGACACGAGGATCACCCGGGATCCAATCTGGAAGTGAGACAGTCGCCGAACAGCCCGGACGACTCTCCCGCGCGAGTCGACGGGATCGGAGCCGCGGGCGATCGAGACGCGATGTATCCGTTTAATCACGATTACCGCGACGCGAAGAGCGACAGTTCCCGGGACTCCACGCCGCGGAAGCTCCAGGACGGCCTGCTGGACGACGAGCCGCCGATCGAAGAGCCGACAGTTAGGAAGGTCCGTTTGGCGCCCACGCGTTTGAAGTTCCCGCAGGATGCCGGAAACGAGTTTGGCAGAATCGCCGAGGCCCCCTGTTACGCTTCTCCCGGCACGTCGAATTCCAACGATATCTCGGACTCGCCTCTATCTCCTATTGGCGAACACAAGGAAGACGAGCAAGCATCTCTCTCTTTAGCGTTCGCGGGCGAACGCAGGATGGAAGCGAAGAGCGTGGCATTCGGATTGAAATCGCATTTAAATTCGGATGAGAACGCTTCGCAGGCATACGCGGTATCAAATCACCGCCTATTTCCGTCTGCTCAAGCTGGTAAGCGGATCTCCGATCCGATATTAATTCATCTTGTTAGATAACCGTTCTTGGATAAACCGGGATACGTGGAATTTTTGTAATGCGCTCATTAATTCATAATTAATTTAATGATACGACAGGAAAAACTTATCACGCGTATCAAAGTGCAATATCGATCATCTCAATCACCCGTCGACTTCTCACATCCGTCTCGCATCGTGGAAATTTCTCTCGGGCCGTCCTGTTGAATCATCAATTTCGTTTTCTCCTGCAGATTCAGCGAAGATCGTGGCTTCCGAGGATCCCCACTCTCAAACAAGCGTACGGAGACTCGACAGCGAGAGTCAGTCGCGAATCGAACGGTCAGTCGATAGCCAAATGTCGAGTCGCGAGGACAGTTTGGCCGTATCGGGCGGCGAGCACGAACCGGCGGCGGGCCATCGATGCGGCGTCGACGAGAAAGTCGCGAACGGGAAAGTCGGCAGGGTCGCCAATGCCGCGTTGTCCACGTCCGTTCCGGCGGTCTCCACGAGGGTGACGGCGTGCGAGAACGTGACGCAGAGCGATGGAAAAGCGACGTGCGAAAAAAGGCTGTTGAGGACGACGAAGCAGGATATACGTCAGGTCGGTAGCTGAGGAAAATTTGAGGTATAAATTGAGACGTTCTCCTCCCCCCCCCCCCCTCTGGGACACTCCCGCTGGACGAGCGGAACGAAGGAAAGATTAAGGAGCGATTTGATCCGCGGCACTGTTGGATTGGATTAAATTGGATGGAATAGCGTGTAACTCGAGCGAGTTCAATCTCGCGGCTGCACGAAGGCAATTGAGCCCGCGCGCGCTTCGGCAGAAACCGCGGGCCCCAACAACGCGCGGGCGTTTCGATCACGGCCGATCGAGAGCCGGCAATTATTGTTTAAGGGAACGATCAGCGATAAATCCGCGGTCAATTGGCACTAATTACTCATACGGAATGTCGCAATTGTCTGACACGTGGCCGCTGCGTCTATCGCTGGACAAGACCGCTCATGTCACAATTTAGCAATTAATGTGCACGGCTTTTAATATTTGCAATAGAGACCTTGAAGTTCATTACAAGTTTATTACTCTGACATCTCGATGTGAGAGAGAGAGAGAGAGAGAGAGAGAGAGAGAGAGAGAGAGAGAGAGAGAGAGAGACAACGTTTTAATCGCACTTCTACGTGTGCACAGCAGATTTCGTAAAAGCGAATTTGCAAGCGATATTCGCGAGAAGAAAAATTGGTTATTAATTTCTTTTTTCAATTCTTGGCGCAACATTGTCCGTTTTATCAAACGTCTTACGCACGTTGATAGATTGTGTAAACGGGTTTTACGGCGATTTGTAAAACCCGATGATGCGAGGCGCGTTGAAAACAATTAAGTATACGGATTTTTAACGACGCCTTCGCGCATTTTTTACCTGGCAGGGACGGAAGTGACTCGAGTCTCATGATAATTTGTCCGTTCGAAAATAGTATCTCTTTTTTTTCCCCCCCGCGTGTCCGCATTTACATGCGAATAGTAAATAAACAAGCGACATATCTGATTTAACGTGTCGTCGGAAATAGCCGCTCGCGCGTATTTCAAAGCCGCGCGATTTCTTTCGGCCCGGCCCGTTCCGTGCCGTCGCGCTAATTAATTTGTCATCGGCATAGACACGTCTTTGCGCCTATCGCAATTTATCGGTTCCCGGCTAATAAATCTCCCGCAGACGCATGATATATCGAACGTATTTACTTCGGAAACAGTTTGTGACCATGTTCCGGCTGTGATTTATATTTAATCGCGTTTATTTTTTACATTTATCTCTCAATATCGCTCTCGTATATGCTTTGCGGAAATCGACCGAGCTCCGTCGACGTTCATTTTTATGCGAATACACAATACTTTGCCGGCGGCGAAACGCGGTCTCTCTCATTTACTTGTGCCATTATACTGATTCTTACCGGCACGGTCGCACCGATTACAGATCTGCGGCGAAAATCTAGACGGCAAGGTTGACGGGCGAGTTATTACCTTACAAGTTGCCTCGTGACGCTTGACGACTCCTTCATCATCGCCGCGCTAAATTAATCGGCTATCACTTGAGGTGTCTTGTGATTTTTCTTTTTTCCCCCCTTTTTTTCCTTGTAATTGCAAAGGAAGAAAATTACATGCACAAACGTTTTCCCCTCCCCCCGCGATAAGTATTATTAGCTCATTTAGTTGTCTTGTGCAGATTTTATATAACGTTAGATATCATACAAAGAAATTTAACGAGACACGATCCAATGACTTGGCAGTAATACGGACTCGTACGCACGCATCGTTTGTCACTCGGCGGTGGCACTTTCGTGCATCTTTTTCCGCGGATCACTGTGTGCCCGTCTAGCACGAGATCCCGGCGGGGATACCGCCAAGTTATAAATATTATATTGAAGTGCGGTAGAGCGTCGCACAACGCACGTGCCCCTTCTACATCCGGCGGTCTATCTCGTTTGATATGAGAAATAATATTTGCCTTAGGTTTGCCGCGTAAACGTTCGATAGATATTAGTGGAAAAGCGAAGAGAGAAGGCCGCCGAAATTCTCGCCCGTTCTCTTTTACCCGTCAGTGTATTTGTGGGCGGTAATTAATCATTCGAAGAAAGAGGAAACGATAATCCACGTAACTGTCATCGTTTGACCGACACGAGTCGCATCGAATCACCTGCCTTCTCTTCGGGGTCTGCCCATTCGGTTACCAGTTTTAATTACGCTGGAATACGTGCGAGTCTCTCTCGCATTCTCTCCCGATAATGTTTATCCGAACGTGATGCGATAACGCGTACGGAACGAAGGTCATATTACCACTGGAAGTGCGATCTGTGCCAAGTTAACTGTTCTTATCGCTACGAACTTCCCCAATCTTGCATATGCAGTGATTGTTAATCAGCGGCGGTCAACAAGCAGTCTCGTATGCATTTTCCTTCCGTCGCACTGAAAGTCATTAGATACCGAAAGATTATTTACAGCGGACGTCCGCTAATTTTGCGGGAGACTCGGCGAACGCGCATTTATCGGGTCCCTCCATTGTTCGTCGCTTAATATTCTAAAATGTCATTTTGTCATTACAGTGGCTCGTAAATATGAACAAAAGATCGCATTCGGAGGGTGAGAACCTCGGCCGATTGGAGCACGGTTGTCGTTGTAAAGTGATGCGATTGAAACCATTGATTCCGGAATGTAGTCAGAGCAGTGTTTTCCCGAGTCTCGCGGACATTCGTCCGCAAAGATCTGGGATAGCCAATTTATCGGATTCCGAGGAGAACAGGTGAATAGCAGGGAGAACTTGATGTAGCTTTGGGTCGTACAGTTAATTATGGAACAATCTTGATTTTCAGGGAGAATCTAAGCGAGCTGGAACTGCAGGTAAATAAACATGTTCCAAGTGTGAAAATTACGAGGTATTTCAGCAGACATGCAGTTACGTTATACGGCACATTGCTCCTGTTACAGAAGATGTACACGGCGTTCTCGTTGTGTCTCTGCGTAGAGAGGTTGACCCTGTCGCGAAGGGTAGCGATGTCGTGCCGGCAGCGCGACCAATCCGAGAAAAATCTCGCCTGCGAGGTGCAGAGGATGCAGCAGGACATTCAGGCAAGCAAATACGAAAATATCTTTCGGTCGTTCGGTTGACATTTGCGGTACGCGCTGACTGAGCTAAGAAAAGCCGAAACGTTCGCAATTAATAATTTATATATGTTTAAAAGATACGTTTTTTCTACCTGATAATTATTGACGCTCGTGATTTGGCCTTGTTTTCTTGTATATAGTTTTTATTATTTGATGTATCTTGTCACTTGTCGATCCTTTTCTCGAGCAATTTGTATAGAACGGAAGAGTGTAGATCCTTTGGGTCTAAGTCGTCGAGACGCGTATAAATTGCATCCGCGAGGCATTTGCCAGTTAGTAGTTGTTCTCCATGGTTCGTTGAAGGGATTGAATTTTGCGTAACGTCAGGAACTCGCGCCACTATGCACGGACAGGGAATCCGTGGAGCGGGTGGAGCGGGTCAGGCATCAGTTGGACATGATAGTGCGGTGTGCGCACAGGGTGTCCTGCGCGGCCGAGACTCTAGGCGCCGTGCACCAGGAGCGTAGGGTCTCCCGGGCCATTCTGATTGCCGACAAGTATCTCCAGGTGCTGCAGTCCCGATGCGAGAAGCTGATCTCCAATGTCGCCGAGACTAAGTGAGGGTCACAGACTTATCACCTTTCCCTGCTCGCTCGTCATTCGTTCAATCTGTACTTTGACGCCGCCAGCTTTCAAAAATATGATACGCCTTCGGTCTTTCTGTCGCGAGTAAAACTTTTAAAGATTCACCTCTTGATAGAGATCAATTAATCGGCCGGTTTGGACAAGTATTCTTGGGGAAACATTTGTAATAGCGTTCGACGTTACGTTCTCCCTCACATTTGTTTTCGAAACAATGACATGGTATCAGTGATAGTGCACGCTGTTCGTTTCCAGACGGATCCTGTTAGAGAACAATATAATGATAGAGGAGATCTCCGGCGAGCTCAACGATGAACTGCCCCGCATCAGATATAGGAGCGGTACACCCGCCAATAATCGTATGATGGTTCGAAAATACTGATAGATTCACGTTCATTGCTTTCTCTCGCCAGCTTATCATCGCACGTTAGACGCTCATTGTATCTCGTCACGCGCCGTTGCCATTGTATTTCGTCGCTTCGTTGTCGTACTTTCGCACGTTCGCACAACTTCACAGGAATTTTTTCGACACGCTCACGGCTTGCACTTTCATTTTCTTTTTTATTTAATTTCGTTATGTCCAATAATTGGTACGTTTTTTTCGTCAATTCTTCCTTCTAGATGGCTAGGAGAAGAGCCAGCGTGGCCACGATGTCTCGGCCGATGGGCAGCGCGCAGGATGTGATAAAGGCAATTTGTCTTGGTTTTAATTTTGACTTTTCGCTTCTACAGCTTGGTATTTCAATGGGATTATCCTCTTACGTTCTGCACTATTAACACAATGACGTGCATAATGATTGCTTATTTACACTTTTCTCTTTTTTTTATATCGAAATATTTTCTACATTTCTCGCTTTGTACTCTATATAGGAGACCGTGAGACAACGAAATTCCGTATCCGGACGAATGACTCTCAGAAGACCGTCCGTCAGCTCCGATTCCCCGAAGAGGGAAATCGAAAAACTGGATCGTACCGAGTGAGTTATATTATTGTCGATTTAGATTTAGATATCTCGAGCTAACACTTGCAACATCTCTCTGCTAGCTGTCTTAAAGAAATTAAAATGTCTAAAAAGGTACCTATTAAAATGTCTAAAAAGGTACAGTTGTAAATGGATATTCTTTGATTATTTTTCGATAGAAGTTCCAACAGCATTAGCGAATTGCGGGGTATCTTCGAGCAGGCCGAGTCTCGTCGCAGCTCGAAGGAGGAAAATAACATGCTACGACTGAATCACTCCAATAGCCAAAGTACAGTAAATTGCGCAATGATCGACAACGAGATTTGGACGAACGTAAAGGAGGAGACCACTTCCGAAGTTTCCGACGTCGAAAGCATCCATTCTGATAGTCGATCAAGGTTAATGTCTTCTTTATTTTATCTCGTAATCAAATAAAACTGTTTCTCTTAACGTAATGTCTTTTCTTTTCTTTTTTTAGCACAAGATCGTCGTACACTTTCCAATTAAGAAGACGAGGAAGTAAACTATTATCAATATGGCGCATAATGTCGAGTGTTCTAATTGTTTGTTTCGTCTTCTACATGATTCAAGCATTGTTAATAGCAAACACGAACCGTTGCTGCGAGCCATTCAGCCAACGGTTGATCAACGTTTGGAACGAGAACCGTCAAAAAAGAAATGCAGTGCCTCACCCAATATGACTCCCTTGATATTCGCGCGATCCAGTGTGGTTAGCTGTGCCAGTAAAATAATTAGCAAAACTAATTATAAACACTGTAACATATGTCAATTATAGAAAGGCTGAATAAATTAATAAACTCAAGTTCGTACTTGATCATCGCAAGACTTCGAAATGTTAGTATTATACGACAATATTTGGCCGAATTCGTTGATATCACTACTTTGGTAAAAGACATACTTTTGTAGAGAAGATAACTTTCCAGAGAACATAGAAATCATTACTTTTGTAAATAAGATATTTTTGTAGAGAAGGTAGAAACGTTTTGTGTTAACATAAAATACTTCCAACTAATTAAATCATACAGTTCTTATTCGGATCGCACGCTTATACTTGGCGTCTTTTTTATCTTTTTTTAAAAAGGTTTTTTTTTGGAGATAGTAAGAATTATACGCTGACTTTGGATATCTTAACTTTTACATTGAACATTATTTTCCATCGGTAAACTAAATATTTAACAGTAAAGATACTTCGATGAAAGATACTTATCGAAATAAAAGAAGCGATTAGAAATGTTATTCATAAAAAATAGGAACAGAATATCCAACGCGTTGGATTTCTGTTCCCTATTCCCTGTGCCTGACCTACCTGACCAATCACAGTGGAGACTGGGACAGACACGTGGTTTTAAAATGCAGATGATTGGACAGCACGCCTATTGCCAACGAATCATTGTGTCTTGGCATTACATAGATTTCTATTCCCTATTCCTATTCCCTATTCCTATTGCCTGTGCTTTCCTATTGTGTGATAGGCTTTAGGCTGGGTCTACATTGGATGTCGTAAGCACGGTCTTACATACAGGTCTGGAAACTCGAGTAGTGGGGGTAGTGCTCAGTTTTAAGCCAAAATTAGTTCGCCCTGTGTGTCGCTGCTATCGGTCAGTGCCAGACTCTAACCTTGACTGCGTTCGGGCAGATATAATTTTACAGATTTATACATGCTTTTAGATAGTTCGGGACTATGCAAGAATTCGTCATTATGGACTATCCAAGACAATTCGTTGGAATGTATACCGAGCCATGCACTAACGTTGAGTTTAATGGTTATGTTTCCACTTTTACAACACTTTGCGATAACAGCGACACGCTGCTAGTGACAAGATTGTGCACTAAAAATGGCTTAAATTTTGGCACACCCCCACCACCAAAATTTGCCTGAGTTTCCAGACCTGTATGTAAGACCGTGATCGGATGAGCCACAAGTAGGATCATCCCTAGGTGTAGAATGGGCATTACGTCTACGACTAAGACCGTTTCAAGCGTTTACGGATCGTTCTCTGCCAGCAGCCTTGCCGAAAGCAGCGGCAGCGTCTCTCCCAGTTTATTCGTAGGCGATTTGCGCATCGTTTCGCAACCGTGGCGTGACATTTCGTTGTCCGTCTCGAGACTCTCGAGAATAGACGCTAGTCATGTTTGTCGTCTTGTCTCTGTGGACAAAGACTAAGGCCCGGT